TCAAATGGGCCAATCCATGTTGCCACAACTAAGTAATAAAATTCAAAAATATATAAAATACAAAAAATATAGAAATTAAAAAAATGGGAACGTTTTTAACATCATATATTTGACATATTAAACAATAATAAGTAGATAAAAAATGTTTTAAAAACCAACCCGGAGGCTGACCCGCTTTTGCCTTCAGGTCACAAGTCACCGGTTCGACTATCAATGTCAAACGTGTCAAACCGCTCTGCATCAACACTATATATGTGTGTGTTTGTGTGTGTGTGTGTGTGTGTGTGAAAGTACATATTTTATCAATAAATAGTATGATTATGTTTTACATATAGTATAGTTTTGTTTTAGATATATTTTATAATTATATTTTACATATATTACATTTATTTATGTTTTTAATTCAGATTTTATTTTTTATTTATAAAAATATTAAAAATTGCAATTTGGGGCCAAAAAATGGGGTTTTTCCACGAAAATAGCAAGGCAAGGTGCCTAAGGCCCTTGGAACGTGTAGATCTTGAAAAGTTACCCCAATCATACATCGGAGTGCAAAGTTACGACTTCCAAAAGTTTGCACATAATTAAGTGTGCAACCTGTAACCTGGTTACTTGGTTGAATGGGGCAATGGTTGAACTACCCAAGTTAGACAGTTCAAACCGCTGAGTGACAGTTCGAATAGTTCAATCGCCTAGGTCAACGAAAGGTTGAAAACATTAATTGATCATAAATAAATTTTTTTTTTATTAATGATGGAAATGAAATGTAAAATTTAAAACCAATTGGAAGTAAAACTATTTTCCTATGATCTCTCATTAAATCTCATATCTAAGGTATATTCTCTTATTAAATCATATATTTAAGATATATTTTTCTCATCATTAAATTCTACTAATTAAATCTATAATATTAATTTTAATAATATAAAAATAAATATTTTGAAAATAAAATCATTTTATTCCCTCTTGGTGGTGGGTAAACAATTCAACCATTTATGGTCAAATGCGTTAATAAATAATGCCATAATTAAATAATAATAAGTAAAATATATAAAATATATAATACAAAAAAAATAAAAGAATTGGGCATGTCACTAATATTGTATATTCATTATACTAAACAAAATTAAGTATGAAATGTAAGAATTATTTTTGTAAATGATAAAAATGGAATGCCAAAATTAAAATCAACCTAGAAGTGAAATGATGGCAAAGTCAAATAATAAAATTTTTAAAATAGAAAATACAAAGAATCATAAAATTAAATGTTATACATAAGATATAATGTTATGTATTTATAAAAAATAAAATATTGGGTGCATCTATAATATTATACATTCATTATATTGAACAAAAATAAATATTATACATAAGATATAATTTTACCAATAATAGAAATGTAATACAAAATTTAATATCGACCTAGAACTTTTTTTGGGTCATGGTTTAGTGTTTTAGGTCAAATGGATTAATCGGTGATATGATAGTTAAATAATAAATATTTAAAAAATAATAAAAAAGTACAAGTAATCAAAAGAATATATAAAAAATTATATATTAATTATGTCAAACAAAATTTAAGTGTGATAAGTAAAATTTATTTATATATTGTAGATGAAATATATAATTTAAAACCGGTCTGAAAAGAAAGCTATTTTCTTATCTAAATGGTGGGTCAATGATCCAACTTTTCAAAAAAAATCATGATGTCATAATTGAATAATAAATATTTTAAAAAAATCAAACACAAAAAATAAAAAGTACAAAGTTTTGTCAAAAACATTTTGGAGCATTTTAATGTTATATAATCATCATATTAAATAAAAATAATTTTGAAAATAAAAATTATTTTTATTTAAGATAGAAATGGAACACAAAATTTAGTAGTAGTAGTAGTAGTAGTAGTAGTAGTAATAGTAGTAGTAGTAGTAGTAGTAGTAGTAGTAATCATAATAATTATTGCAATTTAAAATTTTTGCAAGTGTGCATTTAGTACAAGTATTTAAGTTTACTTTTAGTCATATTGTTACTTTTATTAATTTTCAATTTATATCTTAATTATGATATATCTAAAATTCAATTAATTAATATGGAAAGCAACGCACGTGCTTAATTACTAGTAAATTATAAAAGGAAATAGTCAATATCAATAGGATCTATGCTTTTTATGATCCTTTAGAAATTTTCTCTTTATTTTCCTTTTTGCACTTCTTAAAAGTTAAAAGATAAAAAGCAGCAAAAAAAGAAACATTAAAAAGCCTTAAGTTAAATCAGAACATTTTAACATTAATATATTGTCAATGCTTGCAAATGGTGGTTAAATCTAATCATTTTTTTTTTCTTTGTACCCTTTTTTCTTTAGTTGCACTAGACATGCCTTTACATTAGTGTACATAATAGAGAATAGTCCACGTCAGCAGTGATGTATGCTTGTTATGACTTGTTGAAAATTTCTCCCTTTTTTGCATTTTTAATTAAACAAAAAAGTAATTGAGGAGACTAAGAAGTCAATTGTGAAGTAGTATCTAATTCGATCATCTTCCTATTTTGTATGAAAAAGTTCTTTAGGTCATGTTTGGTTTGAAGGAAAAGGTAGGGAAAGGAATTGAAGGGAAAGACAAGGAAACATATACAAGGTTTGTAAAGATTTCTTTACCTTTCCCTTCCTTTCCCTACCTTTTCCTTGAAACCAAACATAACCTTAAGGAAAATGTACCACTGAAATTGTACAACTTTTCTGTCAAATTAGGCTCTCAAAACATTATAAAACTTACCATATTCTTCTGATGAATTCTTCCAACATGTAGACATGCATCTTTATATATCTTGAATATCTGAAGTTTTCTTTTTTTTTTCTTCTTTTTGACCAATAAAAAAAAGAATGTCTGTAGAATCCATGGTGCTAATGATAATTGGAGCCAACTTTATCTTTATTTATTTATTAGATTCATGGGACTAGGTACACAATAAGGCTACCTGTCCTCCAATTGGGATGGACCTGTTATTCATTGGGATTCATTAAATAAGAAAATCCCGGTTTAGCTTATGCTCAATTTGGAAGGAATACAAATACAAATATGTAGAGTGCAAAGCCTCTTATTTTATATTATTTTGTATGTATTTATACTGTACAAATAGGTTTTGTACACTTCTATGATAGCTTTTCTAGGCTTGACTTCAAATACTTGGAGCAGAAATTTGTATGGGATTTGCTTCCTCAAAAACCAAGCAAGGCCCCGTATTATAAACCATGAGGATTGTTTGAGCTCCATGGGTCCCTACTAGGGGTGGAAATTTTCCCCATTTCCCTGATCCCTATGGGGATCCGCTCCGAATGGGGCGGGGATGGGGATGATTTCCCCCCACGGGGACGGGTCAGGGATGGGGAGAGCACTCCCTGCCCCGCGGGATCCCCACTATATATATATATATATATATATATATATATATATACGTTATATATGTATATATATACACATACATCTATATATTAATATTTTAAAAAATATGGTCGAATATGTTTGAATCTTTTCTAATAGGATTGTAAATTTTAATTATTTTATTTTTATTTAAAAAAAACAAAATTATTAACACTATAAAAAAATTATGGGGAATGGGGATAACCTTGTCCCTGTTAGCGGGGATGAGGATGGGGATTTTCACGAGGATGGAGATGGGGAGAGGCTCCCTGTCCCCGCCCCGCCCCATTGCCAGTCCTATTCCCTACATATGATGTTGCTTCTGAGCCATCCGATCTCCTTCACACTCGTAGGGTTGTCAGTTGAATCAGATTTGGTATAATCTGATCTAGTCCAATATGAATTCCATTATAGATGGATCAAGTCCAATCTGATCCGATGAATACTTTGGACTGATCTAATTTAATGTCTGGACAATTCAATCTATTCAAATTGCTTTTATTTTAGGTCAAGTTTGAAAGTGCTTATTTAAAAAAAATAAGTACTTGTTGAATAAGTGCTAAAAAACAAATGTTTATTTTAATAAGTACTTATGAGCTTTTGGTGAAAAAGCACTTATTTAAATAGGGATGGTATAGGTAATTTTAAAATGATATGGCGGGTCAAAATAAGTCAGAAAATAAATAAGCACTTAAAAATAAACCCAAAATTTAAGCTTCTCTAAAAATATTTATTCTCATAATAAATACTTATTTTCCAAACACAAATAAATACTTATTGATGTGTGATCCCGGCCCAAAATAAGTGCTATTTGAATAAATACTTATTTTTAAGCATTCTCAAACTTAACATTGGATAATACCAATCCAAACCTGATCCATATTGATTCAATCTGACCCAATCCAATAAAAATCATTAGAAATGGACTAAGTCCGATCCAAACCACTAAATACTTGGGACCAAGTCTGGATGGTCCTATTCAATATGTTGGTCCATCCAATAATTGATTTTGATTTGGATGTGGTATAACCCAAAACTAGTCCATTTACACACTCACATGCATGAGATAGGTATTAGTTTTCAATGGATTCAAATCTCCATTTGTACAGAATCAACATTCCATGTAAATAAAAAACAAACAGATTGAACCAAAATCCCAAGAATTAGCTAAATTACGTTCAAATGACTAAAATCCAAAACCATCGTCCCCTGTCAGAAGGTGAGGTACAGATTGCAATTTAGTGTTAATTATACCATCAAATCAAATCATTTGCCTCTGACATCATCATACACGCAAGAGGTCATGGTGTACAGGTTAAGAAAACTACACAGCAGGGCCCAAGATAGAAAACGGGGAATCCAATGGTCAAGTATAGTGTTTCCCATCCCACATGGCCACACGTGATATGCCACTTGAAAATTTTCTGCCCAAACTGAGTCAATAGACAATACCTAACCACGGAACCGATCTACATCGTCGACTCGGATCGCTTGGCATCACAATGACTCCAGCATTGAGTCAATATCTTATCCCACCTTAGAGTCGAGCTCCATACATAATCAACACGGATATCAGATCAGCTACTGAGTCGTTACCTCGAACCGCTTGCTCTGTAAATCCGATTCACAACGATGGAATGATTTCTCGTTGATGGTCTCAAGGATGGGTTTCCACGACCGAGCCGTAGTTGACGTTTGACACCGATAAGCCGCTAGATCTGCCTCTTGTGCCACACTGCTTGTGACTCGGTCCCAGAACGAGTTAGCACTTGCAGGCGCGGAATTACTTCTGAAACCGGCGGAGATGTTAAGCCTCGACATAGGACTGTTTTCTGGGTGTCTAGCATCGGAGGCGGAGACGCCGCGTTTGGCGATCGCTGTGAGCCTTGTGGCCAGAGAGACGAGGTCGACGGGAGAGGCATCGGACTGAAACACGGAGAAAGGTAATACGAAGTAGAGCTGGCCGGGTTGAAGCTGAGTGTCGGGGGCCAGTGCTGGTTTTGAGCCAAAGGAGTGGAGCTGAGCCATGGTGCAGACGAAGTGCTTTGGTGGCTTTCCCGTGATCTCGCTCACTGTCACCGGATAATCGAACTCCTCCACGAAACCATTCTGGTGAACCACTCTTATTCCATCGAAGGAAGACGATGATCTGCAAGACAAACACCCACCCATCTCTCTCTCCTCTCTCTCAAATAAACACAGAAGAGATTTGTATATCGAGCGAGTCTGTTACTTGTGGAAACGATGATCTGCAAGACAAACAGCAACCAATCTCTCTCTCTCTCAAAAAAAATGAACACAGAAGAGATTACTATATGCAGTCTGTTACTTGTGAAGACGATGATCTGCAAGACAAATAGCAGCCTGTCTCTCTCTCTCTCAAAAAAAAATGAACACAGAAGAGATTACCATATCGAGTCTGTTACTTATGAAGACGATGATCTGCAAGACAAACAGCAACCCATCTCTCTCTCTCTCTCTCTCTCTCTCTTAAATACACTTCTAAGATTATTATATCCATTTATCCAGTTTGTTTATTGTGAAGGTATATAATATAGCAGCCTCAGTGACGTTGCTCTTTGAACATAATGGAATGACCCTATCTAATCTTCAAACTCTGTATACAAAGAACCCATCAAACCATGTGACGACTTCGTTCAAGAATTAATAGTTGATGGTTTAGAGATGAAAATGGGTAGGATTCATGAGTCGGCCAAGACCGGAAAAATATATCTGAGCCTTGACAAGGCCAATCCGGTGACGCTGGTTGCTGCCTAAAATTTAAACCACAGGTCAAGCCAAGGGCAGATTCCGGTGGGTTAACCGGATCAAGTTCAAGGATCGTTGTGTGGACTTGTGGCTGCTATACCTAGATATTTAAAGGACTGTTTGGTAAGCTTAAGCTCATAAAAGCGTGCAGAGCAGAGCAGATCCCCTAACTAGAGAGTAGAGACCATTTCATTTTTGCACCGCTAGCTTCATGTCATCTTCTTTGACTTGGTAGATGAAGCACCCCAAGCCTGCAATTTGGATACACCTTGTTGGACTTTTGGTTTTTGGATCAGATATTGCTTTAACTATCATATATAGTTAGACTTGGGAAATGATTCACATTTTTTTTCTTTGGGTTTCTTGCTTTCTTAATTATCCACATGGGGAGGGGATATCAAAATTGAGTTTTGTTTTATTTGCTTATTATTTCAAGTGTAATAAGCTATCTACATGAGGTTTCATTGTATTCTCTTATTTTAGGGGAAAAGAACAAGACAAAGCTCTGTTTTCCTTCCTTTTTTGCTGGGCAAACAGGGGGAAGCAGGCCCCAGCAAGCAAGAAGCCACCAAAAACAGTGGGCTTAGAGGCCCACGCCAGTGCATGATTCATGGCGTAGATTATGACTGGTTGTCCCTTGCTAACTGATGGTTGACAAAAAACAAGAATTAAGGATGGCTGGTTTTTTCTGGAATCAGTCCTCCAAGGTAAAGGCTTTGGGACTTGGCCCATGATTCCATGTTGTAGGTCCAGTGGGTCATAGATAAAAATGATCTGGCCACGGCCCACATGAGAGTTACAAGATTGTATGGTTTCAGGCCATGGCAAAGTAAGGGCCCGTTTGGTGTATTTTTTTTGGAAGATCTTTTGATAGTTTCGACAGTTAAAAGATCAGAATAGTTTGAAGCACATTTGGTAGATACATGACTCGCTATGTGTTTTTCCGTGCAAGAATAAAACGTAAAAAGGCACGAAAAGCTTCATTTGGAGTTTCTAAAAATCAGTCCAAAATAGATTTTTCGTATTTTTTTGGTACTTTGGCTTTTGACAAATACATCTTCCACAAGCCAAACGAAAATAAACCAAAAATTGATTTACCCAACTTATAAACAAATGAAAGACCGTACAAAAAAACATACCAAATAAACCTTAAGAATAACATACTATAACACATAATTCATGGGCAAGGCATTAATTTGATTGGCTAGCTTGTATATCTATGTGGGTCCATGTAACCTCATTAATTCTAGGGTACTTTTCCTTGTAAAAGTTTTGTTTAAAAAAATTCCTTGTAAAAGTGGTGCCTACCCAGAATATCCACTATCAGTTATTAGTTAGTTGACCAATTAAAGGGATAAAGCGACGTACACTATTAATAAGGTAATTAATGAAAGTCAACCATCAACTAAGCAAGGCAATTCTAATTAAGAATAGATAACTTGTATTAGTAAAAAAGCAATGATAATTGTCAATCTTAACTAACCTTCTCGTATGGTGGAACAGGTAAAGCTTCTACCAAACAAGCTCTAATCTAATCTTGTTATAAAATTTAGTTTTAATTGGTCAGAAGGTATAAAGAGAAGGGAAGAGGAAACTAGAAGGTGATTAGGTTTGAAGTTGGCAACACGGTATGAATGCAAAGCTTTATTAAATGTTGTAAGACGGTGGTCTTCTCTACCGACTACCTCCACACTCACCATCTCTTCATGAGATTGGAGCCACGTGGACCTAGCACCCAAATTCAACCCAATTCGATCCAAATAATGGCTGCCACCCTGCTTTACTCAATCCAAGCAAACCAGGGGCCAGGTTCAATTAATGTCCCTTGGTTCCTCCAACTCACTTGCATATTTCAACTAAGAGGCTGAGGCTCTCATTTGACCCCATGATACATCTTGTCATAAATTAATAAAGCAGTTAAGCACCATTATCATTGAAGAAAACCCTTTATTTTTTATTGATAAATGAAGAGAAACTAATCAGAGAGTAGGGCTCCTGATAACTAGTGGATGAGATTTCACATTAGTTACTCATAACTGCTGCAAGATATTTCATTTTACAGTTTCTATGGACTGTGTGGGGGATCCACCATTGATTTATTTATGAAACATAATATCGAATCACTAGATGAAAATTAAACTAGAAATTCAATAAGCCATTTTTTCAGGAATAAAAAACATCTAATTAAGAACATGTTTTTTTTTTTTTTGTGTGTGTGTATTTGTATTTTAAGCACCATTTTTTTTTTCAAACAAGATGGTATCGATTTGTTTTTAGATTTCACGGATTAGAAAACAATTCACAGTGATGGCCATCACAAATATGTGAATCTGGATCTAGAAGGCATACTCCTTGTAAGCACACTTTTAGTTAGCACTCAATATTTACCGAGTGTTTACTCAATGTGTTCACTGTATGTGCTACTGATCCAGATATATATATTAAGATAATATTTAGGGCAAATTGCTAAAATCTCCCCTGAAGTTTAGTAATTGCAATCATTTCCCCTGAACTTTTTAATAGAGTTGCAAGTAGATGTCCTCTAGTAGAATATTAAATGAAAATGTCCAAAATACCCATACAATTACTATTGAGACTAGTTTTTATGGAAAAAAACAATAATACAAATTTTATGAACAGCAAAAAGAAAAAGAATTTAAAGTTGTAGCTTTACCTTTGAATGATTAATATGAAGGGCAAATTTGGAAAATAAATCAATTTCAGAAAATAGATTGGAAGAGTTTGGGGTAGTGATTCATATGAAGAGAAAATTTGGAAAATAAACATTTTTGTTAAAAGTAATTGAGGATCGGTTCCACTGGTACTTTTTAGTTAAAAGTAATTGAGTCCTCGCGGGTTTTGCGGATCGGTTCCGGGATCTTCATCACGATGAGATCCGTTTCCGCTTTAATTGGAGGATAATGTTACCAACTGATAAGGCTTATCAATTCCTCCCGAACCGGGCGGGGACGAGATAAGGCTTGTCATTATGTGGCGTGATCCCACGAGGTTCAGGGTCTACTGGAGAGATTTCCGGGGTTGTCACGTAGTGGTCTGAGTCGGTATCCCCAAGCTGGTACTTTTTAGGTCCGAACTGGACTAAATGCCGAAGTGCCTTGGGACTGAGGTGACTTAATGCCGAAGTGGTTGGGTGTCCGAGCTCAACTGTTGCGAACTAGGCATGTCAAGTTGAGCTGTCATCTCTTGGTCAGGTCGTGTCCACGTGTCCCCTTTTTACTAGGTCGGGCCAAATCACTCTTCATCAATTGCCCCCCACTCCCTGAGACAGGGGTTTCGACCCAGTGCGGGGAGTTCATGACGAGTTCAAGTGGATCGGTTGGTCGGACCTATTCGAACTTCTGGTTTAACCAGCAATAACCCAGGTCGCGTCAGGTGTACGCGCGGACGTCACGTTGTTTATTGACTCTGCAGATGTCAAAAACGCGCTCAACCGATTTTGTCATCGGGCGTCGTGCAATCGGTTTTCATGAGAGTCGTTGGATCGAGCAAGTCTCAGTCATTGATCGCCTCGCGGTGAACTATAAATAGGGGGTCGAGGAACCCTTCTTCCTCGCCAAAAATCCTGTGATTGAGCTCTCCCGAGATCGCATCAGAGTCCTTCAGCTCGCTACTTCCTTCTTTGTATTCCGAGGTCGTTCTCCTTTTGGTGAGTTCGTCTTTTCTTAGTTTGTTCTCTTTTCTTGTCCCTGTTTTAACATGTCTAGTGCTAGCATTAATAGGCTTCTTGGCGATTCTAGTGAGCTCGAGAGTGCTAAGGTGCAGTCCTTGGCTCCCGCTGGCGAGGTCAACTCCTCACTAGGTAGCTCCCCCCTTCGCCCCTTAGAGGAAACCTCTTTACCTGTAGTTGGGCCATCTCGGCCTGAGGAGCCCAAAGCTCGAGAGGAGGTCCCATCTTCTTCTCGGGGTCAGGATTCGGATGACTTTGGTCCTTCGACCATGACCTCGGGTAGGCTATTGTCTTTGGTAGCTCGTTACCGTCTCCCTGATAGCCTAGTTTTTAGCGTTCCTTTAGGTCAAAACCCTTGGGCTCACGATCAACATGAGCTCACGGTTTTCGAAGAGCAACTTGTAGCCGGGCTGCGCTTCCCGCTCCATCCATTTATTATAGAAATAATCAAGTTTTTTGACATCACCATCGACCAACTACACCCGAACTCTATCCAGACCATAGTAGGTACCATCTCCCTGTTCCACGAATACAACCGACCTCTGTCCTTAGACATCTTTAGTTCAATCTGCTCGATCAAAAAGAACTCCACTTGTTTGCGTGGGGACGTCCGACAAAGTTACTACATCTCTCATCGGCCCGAGTTTAAAATCCTGTTCAATAGCCCGAACAAAGTACCGGCCTGGAAGAGGAGATACTTTTTTGTTTGGAATCC